GAGGAGAAATTCGATACTGGGAAAGATGATCCCAATGGTATCAGGTTGAGGAAAACTTCATGACATTCCCTTGGGATTTTTTCTTCTTATATTTGGCTGCATATACATTAAGGGTGTTTACAAGTGATTGAAGGCGCCTGGACTGGGAATTAGACGGATTGGCGGGTTCCGTACTATGTCAAACTATATCGGAAGGGGTAATTTGCCACGACTCTCGTTTATGTATTAGGCATGATACCCACGTATGACAACAATAATCAGGATGTACATATACCAGGGCAAGGAAAGCCTAGGGCAGCTATGTATACAATAAGATTTCAAATGAACAAATAACCCTCGCGATAATTGTATTGCCAGCCAAGAACATGATATCTATTATAAGGTATTGCATACATAGAGACAGACATGTAACAGGATTGTTGGTCACATTATAATCAAAAGTGCCTTTGTTAAATTCGTACCGACGCACACCCCTTAGTAGTTTCACGATCTACATGTTGCACATAATAGTTTCAATAGGGACTTCAGTCGCCTGGTAAAGGGATTGGATCAGTTAACTAATACACTTCCATCATTTATGTAAAAGATGATTGTGTGCTTCGTAGATAGCAGAGTATACAAGAGCAACTGCTACTGACCCTATGTTATTGACCCAGGGTTAGCCATGTACAATTATAGCCGCGTTATGATATTGCCGACATAATATATTACGGGCAACCATTATCTCTAGTATTCTTAAGGCGTATTAGACTGATGTCGCATCGTGATAAGCGGTGGAGCTGGGGTAGCTGGAGAACGGTCTTCCGTTTCTAGCTCTTCGTCGGTTTCCTCTTCAAACTCCGACACATCTAATCCGAGAGCTTTTTGCGCTTCCCTTTTCTCCTTCTTCTCTTTCTTCTCCTGCTGTTTCTTTACCCTTTTCTTTCCTTCGGCAAGGTGTTGACTACCAAGTATTTAGTATATATATTGTCATAGACAGCAAAAAGGGGTGGGGTGGGGACGGCAAGAGTAATAAAAGGGGTCATTTACCTACCAGTAAGTTATCCGGAGTGCCGCCCTATTCCTGTGTTGCTTATAGTACATGGGCTCCTGTCTATGAACCCGCCGTGTGGAAATTTCCTCCGCCGTCCGCGCTGCTTTACAGGAATCGCAGTTTTCCCAAACTTGTATAACGGGCTCAAGCTGTTTGATGCCCCGGCAGGCTTGGCCGTTCTCGACCTGGAAACACGGTATGCTGAGTTTCTTGTAATTAAATTTCTTCTGGCACTCATAACATTGATACCATTCATCCAAACTCTTACACATATTGGCTGTTGTTAGTCTTGTAAGTTTATTCTTTCGAGTACTGAGTGTATTATAGGCTTTTAAGTTTAAGCGGGCTTTTGGTGGTGCTGTTTTAATTGATTTGAGACTATCTGGGTACAGCGATGAGCTAGTTATAACCTGAACACCCCTTTGTGGTCACAACGTTATTGTCTTGCGACAATGCCATTTTCGAGGCAAAGCACAGGACATAGGGCTACAACAGAGATCCGGATTATATCTCTTTGTCCGATTGTCTTTGTCATATCAGGGTCAGGCAAGAACTATCAAGGCATGAGAGCAACCTTTGTCTGCAACCATCTTAAACACCGTAAGTCATATGTTGGTATAATAATTTGATAGTCAAGGATGTTTGAAAATGCGGTGTCTTAAGTAAGGTCTCTTATTTTCACAGTCGTAATAATGTGATTGTTCTTTATTAAAACAATTATAAATTAAATTAAATTTAAATGTCATGTATTGCCATCATATCCATTATATGTCTCCATTTGCTTATTTGTAATTACAATGATTTATATAATATTTATTCCTGTATATTAATTGCATAATAATTAAAAGAATACCTTACTTGTAAAAGTGTCTTGAATTACTTACTGTCATCACTAATATATTCATTGCTGTCGTCTAGCCCTTGTGATACATTACCATAGGCTATCTTGTACTGGAGTCTGGTACACCAGTGGTATGCCCAGGGGCTATATACAAGGTATCCAAAATTGTAGATCATTGGTCGGAATATTGTCCCCCTTCGTCTAGCGCATGACGTCTCCTTTGTCCTCCATGCTCTTAACCCAAATCGCTCCGTCTGTCTGTTTACTTCCTCAACAGAGACTGGTCTCAGTTAAAATCTATCTTCATACTAGTTTGATAAGAAATGCCCAATAGCTAGTATAATGCGAAATAAGCCATCACATCGGCTCTATGATGAGAATGATATAACCTGTAGGTGAAATGTAGTTGTTAGTGACTATAAACTCACCTGTTAACTCGGTATTAGTGTGATTTCTAGCCCCGTCAAATAAAGGATCACGAGATAATGAATTAATAACACATAGCCTACCAAATTGTCCATAGTTTTAATGTCCGAATGTCATATATGAGCTGATTGACACTAAATCATAAATCATAAGTCCCTTTAATCATAGATTTCACTGCTTTGTCTCCTTGAGACTGGTGTGCTATCAACTGGGTCGCTTCTTTGTCTAACACCCCTTTCCGGTACCAAGTTTCATTGGAAATCGAGCCCAAGGTCCTAGTTTTGGGGAAATACATCTTGAGCTAGCTATCTAAAGATTTTATAGTTCATGTTTTAAATCACAAGCTGGTCGTAATTTACGGTACACTAATTAATTAATGGGCAAGAGACTCAGGGTAATGGTAATTCTACGTACCCTTGAAACATAAAGAAGCTGTGATCCATTTATCTTACCACAATGCCGCATAACGCACCAACAGTCCAGCCCAACGGATCCTCCAAGCCTAAATTTTCGTATGGCAAGCAACTCGACGTGTTCTTGACGACAGCAAAAGAGCCTGAGAGCTCAACAGAGGAAGGCCTGGACTGGTTGACCGTCGCTGAGAAGCGTATACAGCAAGACCTCGAAACGTCAAAAAAGGAACTTGAGCTCATTAAATACGCCATAGAAGAAGCTGACACGTACTCTATAGCAGAGAAGAAGCCAAGTGGCAAGCGACGAGACCAGGAGCTACTTCTAGGTGCGTGTCAAGAGTACTCTAGCTCACAGTGTCAGATCCTCAAGGAACGACTGCGACAGGTACAATTCTGGTCAGCCAGTAGGCAGATGGGCAGGAAGATCCCCGAAAAGGAACCAGCAGAGTACGTCGCATTGCTCAACCATTGTTTCATCTGATTGTATCCTGATATCCATGTCGAAACTCAACATCTCAACATTACACTTAATTCTGGAGAGTGGCTGCTGACAGGCATGGTATAGATGGCGCGTGGCAGATCTCGAATGGAGACAATGGTTGAGCGAGCAGGCAGCTGCGAGAGCCGACAAGTCCGATCAGACACTTGCTGAACACCCCCTAGACTTAGATGATGATATCGCATGGGGAATTTGGGGCCCGCTAGCTCATATCCTTACCGTGTACACTTCACATGAAACGAACAATAGGTAGATCACAGAGCAGGTTATAAGATACTGCAACTGGCCTGGATGGTAACTATGTCATTAGTTAAGTACGGTTGGCAAGTTATAACGTTCTCTCAATAGAATGTTAGGTGATCGTTAGACTCATCAGTAGCACCTATGTCCATGAAACCCCATCCTTTTGGTCTTGCGGTTTTCTATAGACTCCAAGGTTTGGTCTATCAACTGGCTGATCACTTGTCCTCCCTGCGCTATCGCTCACGTAGAAGTAGACGCGCAATCATCCCAACGTCGGCCCTGGCAGCGTCTTACGAAAAGGCGCGTCTGTTGTCGAGGGGAACACGAGAAGAACTCATTGCAGCTCTTTACGATGCGCTCATTATCTAGTCTTAGAATCCCTATTGTCACCTAACGAAAACCGACAGAAATACTCACACTGTCATATTTAGTTTACTATATTTAAATATTATAGCTCATGAAATGATGTATGAGTGACTCCTTTATATAGATTTTAGTAACTACAAATCCCGAAGTATGTAGTAGGTTACAGAGCACTACATTGGCTGTTTCCATTACAGATAAATAATGGCAGCTGATGCCGGCCTTTGGTGAGTTATTCATGGCCTTGGTCATTGTCATCAGGGAAATATCTAGTTGTCATCAAGACATCAGCCCTTGCTTTGCATTATAGGTGTAGCTGGCCTTCACCGGCAGTGACTTGTGGCAATAAACTCTTCAATGACAAATATCCATATAACCAACCGAATAGCGTATTCTATCACTTTCACGAAATAAGTGGAACCAAAGTAAGCATACAAAATTTAACAGCTGGTTTTATCGGCTACTCTCAGCTTAAATGGTAGAGGCCCAGTTAGGCCTCACATGTTGCCCTCAGTCATGTAGGTGTTTAACGGGATGGCTTCAAATAGCGGTCCATTTGTCCATGTTTTTGTAATGCTTACTTATATGCCTGAGGTAGCCAGCAGGGCTTACAAGGTATGAAAATAGGGAGCGCGTAACATTCTTACAACTTACTACTGAATGGATACCAATATATCTTAACTTATTTTGTCTATACTAAGTACCTGTCCTTTATTAAATTTTGCCGTGCAGTTTTTATTTTTCTTGCTTTGAAACTTGATTTACTATGAAAACCGATCCCACCTAGAAACACATAATACTACACAACTAGCGAGCAAATCAGCATTTAAGTATCGCCTTTCAAGAAAACGGGTCTAACTGCTCTTCACTTAATCAAACGCCGTGTGGTTAATAAAGTCCCTCCCCTCTTTAAAACGCTTCTTGTTAGTACAATTCGAACATTCTCATGTTAAAGCGCGGTGCCACTGCAACATGCATGTTAATGACGGGTAAGTAAAGTAGTAAGTAAGTCATAAGAGCGCATATTTTCGGTTCTTTTTTTTTTTGGTGGTCGGTACAAGTGGCTCATTGTTACATGTAGCGTGCGGTAGATGTCATCTAGGAGGTCCCTAGCTGAGGATTATGATGACGTCATGGTACGTACACAGCCCTTAAGTGTTAATTGAAAATCCAAAAATTTAAGGTCCCATGGTGCAGTAGTTAGCACGTTGCTCTTATACGTCTTTCCGAAGGAAATTTGTATGACATGCCATGCAAAGGTCGTGGGTGCAATCCCCACTGGGACCATAATTCTTCTCACTCAATCCCTTCTTTTTGTTGCTCTTACTACTTAATCTAACTCGTATCTATATATTTTACTATTATACCATCAGCCCATAATTATCCTATATCTATAGGATTCCTGTCTTTACTGAGTTATGATTGCTTAACCTTTAACATAGCTTCATGGATCACTGTGCCCCCTTTCCACTCAAGAACCAAAGAAAAGGGAGAACGCCAGCAAAGAGACTGAAGTAGCCATCCGGCCTTCTTAGTAACTGTCGCGATAGGGGTAGTGGTTACAGTGCAGCAAATACTAGCTGTCGCCCAATCGAGCATCATTGCACGTATATATTTCAATAGATAGCATACCAACAATCTTCTGAATGCGAATTTTAGCAGCCTTTTTCAATAATGAACTCCTTCATATGGGCGCAAAATATAGCTGCGTACTAGAAAATGACAGTGTCGTGATATTACACCTCTACTTTTCGTGCTAGCCTGATTATGCTAGAGCCATGGACTAAATAACAATTTGTTCACCGAGACGGGCCTCCCTTCTAACCCTACGATCATTTCTCCAGACAAGGAGCCACGAAGTAAGAATGGATCCGATGGCTATGCTCAGGAAAGCCAGACAAATTCCATATGACACATGATAACTCGGACCGAACACTGTACTGAACACATGAGGACCAGCAATGCCCCCAAATTGCGCCCTAGAGCAGCGAGGTTAGTATTTTCCTTTTATAGACAGTCTGGGCAATTATTGGGTGTCGAGGATCCTGGCTTGTGAGCTTCAAACTCCCGATTACCCCAAAGCAAAGTATTACTTCTGAAGCAGGACACGGATGATAATAAAGAACCCTGAATGCGACTTACATTGCATTTGTCCAGCCAATTCCTATACCTGCGGCGACTGTACCTTCCAGAGCTCTAATTCGCTCAGGCCAAATCACTGGATATGCAGAGCCAGCGCAAGACACGGCGATGATCAGGAAGATATACCTCACCACTGCATTGTGGACTGTAAAGAGGATGATATAACAGACGATGATGGTTGATTCGACTATCGGGGTTGTTAGCTCCGCGATTGATTATTCCCAGATGAACACGTACTCGACACAGCTGCGATCCAAGGTTTGATAGTCTTCTTGTGAAGATAATATCCTAGAATATTCAAAAAGAGGAAAGCAGACACATATGGGGGCTATTGTTTGGTGGTTAATCATGTGTATTGGATCAAACGTCTTCTTAGGTTACTTACGATATTCATTAGCTGCGAATTTGACGTAGTTGTGAAACCTAGTTCGTAAATGACCGTAGGTAATGCTGTACCAATGCCGAAGCCGCCAATGCCGTGGCAGATCCAATAAGCTGAAAATGAGTAGAACGTGGGATTTTTGATAAGCGGCGCAAGTGATCTGTAGTCCCAATGCCCCTTTTTTCCAGTTGGTGCCGACTCCCCCAAACGATCTTGGAGAATTGCACGTTCCTTATCCGTAAGCATCCGGGCTGTCTCAGGGTAGTCTGGTAGCCATAAGGCACCGACTGATAGCACAATGGCTGGTAGGCCTTCAATCAAAAATAACCATCGCCATCCAGCAAGTCCACCAAGCCCGTCCTATTGGCAGAGGAGTCAGCAATGCCGTTCTAGATGCTAGAGCTCGAAGTCCACAGCCTTGTTGAGCTATAAAGAGACGATGAAAGGTGCCACCCACCATAAAACCAATGGCGTAAGCAAGAAGGCCACTCACGGCCGGAGAAAGTTGGCCAACAGAATAGAATACAGCGATACGCTGTGGCATCTCACTGGGCTTGTACCAAAAAGCCATATGGTAGAGAACCGCGGGGAAGAAGCCGGCTTCAGCTACGCCAATTGCAAATCGTACGCACATCATCTAACCTAATATCAGTGTTTCCTGATTCAGGAGTTTCGAATTAAGTATATTGTGGAAGCTACTAACACCTTTGAAGTCTTGCGCGGCGGAAGATGAGCAGGCCGAAATACCCCAAGTAAGAATGAGGACAAACATCCATTTGGAGGGCGAGAATACTTTCATCATTAGGGTATTAGTCGGCTCGAAGATCAAGTAGCTGTATGAAAAGATAGAAAGCGTCCAAGCCCACTGTGACGGATCAAGCCCAAGTTGCTTCTTAATGCCTGTGCCATTCTCAAGATTAATGATCGCTGCATTCGAATAATTCGCAGAGTCGATGACTCTGAAAACGTATACTAATGAGTAGAAGCCTATCAACCAGAAGTCCACCTTCTTCAACGCAGCCCTCTGGAGCTCAGGATCGATAGCCCGTGATTCCCGGTCCGAGCTTGTGTCAGCATCATCGCCGTATTGTGGAATCGCTGTATCATCAACCGAAGCATCGATCTTATCAACGCGAGAAGCCATCTCGACGGCGATATCGTGTATCTCAGCAATGGTATCACAAGATATATTCGTCTCGAATCTAACATAGGCGACAAAATTGGTAGGGGGCCAGGCACTGCAAGCAAAACTTGATGCCGCAAGGAAAGAAAAAGAGAGAACTAGCAATAGGCGATTGGTTGGGCGCCTTTACATAGGTAGAAATGTTCTATCCATAATATCAAATAGCGGCACCTATTCGTCACGAAATTACAGACTTGATGGTAGTGTCTAAAGCCACATCCGGAGATATCCTGCTCCTAATCATGGCGTCATAGTAACTGAAGTGACAACAAGTATGCGTGTCGCAGACTAGCCCGTATATACACGCCTCGGCGCTCGTATGGGTGTACCGAAGACGAGATAAGACAGTTTGCACAACTGATTACGCAGGGAGACCACGGGTTGAATGATCCCGCCGTCGTGATCAACAATTACATGAACGTCTACACCATCGGTTGAGACATCCCGATGCGTGCGGGGACTACCTTGATGCTAGTCTATGGTTCGAGTGCCAAACAAATCAATCAATCATGATCCTATATTCCCAAGCACGCACTCGATGAGGTTGATGAGAACATCAAGCACGCAACTATCCCCGCTCTCCAGGTATAAGACCGAGTACACCCAATCAGATTACACGATAGTATTACACATGACCAGCGATAGTGAGGACCCTTCTATATGGGATATAATTGAGGAAACTTTGTTGTATCTATAGTTCTATCATAGATCTAACACAGTTCTCTGATAGAAATCGTTTCCTAAGAGAACAAGCGGTTCAGCATAGTCAAAGATGGCACCCATTGCGATTGAAACGCCAACAGCTCAACCGCTCAACACAGGCAAAGTTCTCGTAAAACCATGGACACGACCGAAACAGACTTCAGAAAAGCTTGATTGGGCTGAGTTGCCCAGAATTGACCTCGGACGCTTTGATGAGCCGGGCGGTAAACAGGAGCTCGCCAAGCAACTGGTCGACGCTGTTACCAGGGTTGGATTTTGGTCTGTTATCAACACGGGACTTGACGATGAACGCGTACTTCGTCAATTTAGTGTCGGAAACACATTTTTCAAAGAGCCACTGGAGGAGAAGCGAAGGTTCCCCTGCAACTTTGCCGAGGGCGAGTATTTTGGATATAGAGAGAACTCCCGTTGGATTGGCGACACTGGTGTTAAGGATAATGTCGAAATGGTACTTGAAAATCACGTGTTCTCATGGACTATGCTTATATCGCAATAGTTGAACATCCCCAAGGCTATTCCGGCGTACGACAACGTTGGCAAGCATCAAATTGTCCAAGACAACTGGGACGAGATTGCTTCCTTTCACAGGGACCTATGGGAGAACGTAATTCGAAAACTCTTCGTTCTGATTTCTATCATTCTCGAGCTCCCAGAGAATTATCTTGCCGATGCTCATGCCTATGATGAGGAATCTGACGACCATCTTCGATACATGATCTACAACGTTAGGACCCAAGATGAATGGGAGAAGGCGCAGGCCTACTCAAAAGGCGGGCATACCGATTTCGGTAGCCTGACGCTACTATTTTCACAGCACATAGCTGGGCTACAGGTTAGTATCGGTAAACTTTCAACCTCAAATCCAGACCGCTCAATGAATAATAATTCACTGTCAACACATGAACTTATGGCCATATACCCTTCACCTAGGTTTTACTACTGTTAGATGTTCTTGAGAAATATCCGATAGACATGGCTAACTACCAACTGTGTAATAGATCCGTACCCCTGAAGGCGAATGGAAATATGTCAAGCCCGTTGATGGTGGCAGTAAGTAAAGCAACGGGAAATTATTCTTTCTCCAAATATGATCCATTGCGCGTGGTCGTCTCGTTTAATCTTGCACGTGCTGGAGATATCGAGAGCCACCCTCAGGCACTGTCATGATGATTTATGCTAACTCTGAATATTGCAGTCACCTGCAATGCGGCGGACACCCTGACATTCCTCACAAATGGTGAGTTTTAACATGAACCTTATAGTTGTGTCTTCCACTGACTGGCGGGGTAGGATTTATCAAGTCCACTATCCACCGAGTGGTTACACCACCAAAGGACCAGATTGACACGCCTCGACTCGGATTGCTCTATTTCAGCCGGCCCGGCGTGAACACTCTTATGAAGACGGTGCCATCCCCTCTACTTGATCGCCTTGGCCTTATTCCACCCGAAGACAAGGACCCAAATAAGCCCGTGGTGTCCGGGACCGAGGTAAGTGATATCTGTAATGATCTATATCCTCTTCTATCTCAACCCAATAACGAAAATTCGGAACACCTATGCATTCAGTTTGCTGTATATGAAGTGATAGTACTGACATCAGATACCATAGTACGTTCGAGCACGGGTCAAGGACGTCCATTATAAGACCGTCTTGGAGAAGCGTGCAGGGACATCATTCGAGTTTAAGGGCTTGAAAGTGCAGAACCACTACGAATAGCCAGGCTAGAATCATCTGGCTATCAAGCGGTTACCCGGGGCCCAGCCTCTAAAACCGTACCAAAAGGAAATCTAACAGACATGTCCAGTAAGACCACAAGCTTGTATTCGTACTAGATTTGGATATCGCGCGCAGGTC